TATTCCTTTCCGTGAGCATGTGAGAAAAATCAATCAAATTCTGTCGTATTATGAACGTGTTCTTACTTGTAAGGAATTTGAGCCTATAGGGACAATTACCTCGTAAGACAATATATTTTCTCTCTCTATTAAACCAGACAATTCTGTATTTTGATTACAGTTTATGAGTTGATGACAACCGATTTATAGCTGTCTAACGAGAGATGCGGAGAGCCCGCGCGACGGAATTGAACCCTGCCACTGTCTAAATTTCCAGGTATTCTTTTCTTCTGTAATATCGCAATACTACCCAGGATCACCATGGGAACTGTAGAAACTCTCGCAGATCCGGGTGGAGTACGCACTGAATTGCGCAATGATGATATCGCCTAGCTTAGTGACGAGACGTTTGTGAGCTCAGCGCTAAGCTCGTTGAACAGATCAACGGTCATATGACCAAGCCCCAATGGGTTGAATTCCGGGGTCGCCATACCGGGAGGCACCAGTCACCCACTCGTGGCTTTGGTACTTCGTTGCCAGGCTAAACACTGTTTATCTCTTGGTCATTTCCACTCGCCAGAGGCTGCCAGAGTTGCTGACGCTCGACAGAACCAAAAACGGCTTTCAAATCCAGGAAAACGAACGACTCGGGACGTGTGAAGGAGTGACGCTTTTGAAGAATTTGTCTCGAGGTAAAGATATGGTCGATAAATCTTCGACCAGGGCGAAACCCAGCTTGACTTTCCCCAATCTGTCTCTCCCGATAATCGAACACCTGGCGCAAACTAATGCCAGAGAGAACCTTAGATGCGACAGAGACTAGAAGGATGCCACAGTGGTCTTTGCAAGACGTGCTTGCGCCCATTTGAAAAAACTGGAATGGCGGTCGTGGATCTTCATTTAACCTATAATGATAGAAATCCCTTGGGCGCAGCCGCTCGAAGATAGAGTTTTTTGAGCTCTCCCGAAGGTCTTCGAGGACATGGTGTGTGCATGCGGACTGGAAACCGATGATTTTCAGTTTGAAACATTGGATCCCCTCCTCAGGGGTGCGGCCAGAGACGAGCATGCGAAGATGGATCGGGCTGCCACGAAAAAACCGATTGCCACAATGTTCGACTAACCTACCGACCGTCAGGTGGCTGTGAGGTGATCTGTCGGGGCCATTTATGGAGCAATCACCAACCCGGCGTGGCCGGGCAGCGCTTTGATCGGATTGAACGGACTATCCCTTAAATATCCGTTGTCGGACAATTTAATCGATGGCCTGCCGCTGGCGTTATAGACTCATTTGAGTTTGACCAGAGCGACCGGCCAGTTGGGCGTTGAGGACCTAGTACGGGAGATAACAGAAGTGTCTCTGTGTCACAAGGGAAGCCGGGGAAGAATATGCAAACAAAATTGGATAAGCTACCTAAAGAACTGGCTAGCAAGATGACAAAAGGGAATTCCAAAAAAGCTGTTACCACACCGGTGGCATGACTGGGTGAACCAATGTCACTGCAGCTGGCCATCTGTCACCTACAAAAAACTCTGCGTACTTGACTTTATCCGGGTGCGTTTCAATCAATGCAGTAACCCAGGCTACGAGACAGGCGGTAATTAACATAGACGGGAAGAGCGAGTCGTACTCAATCGATACAAGGCAGGGTTGTCACAAGCCTTGAGCAAACCGTGGGCACTAGCGCTAACGGCAGTGGGCGGATACCAATTGAAAATCGACCGGATCCCGCTCTATACAATACGCATAGACGACAGAACTGTGTAACACGAGTCTCTAGACCTACCTGAGAGGGGGTTCTTCAGTAGTATGCGCCACCACACGAGTAGTATCGTCCGGCCTGAATGGTGAAAAACTACAGACTTCCTCATAGATTTCTGTAGTTCAAGTATGGAAGACACACAAGATCTTGAAGATAATCGGGCTACCAACCATTTCAAATGCTGAATGGTCAACATTATTGTAGGAAAAAAACACCTGTTTTTAATTTTGATGCCCTGGTGGCGATCAATATGTCTACAACTACATTTCAACTTGTTATATTTATATCTGTCTGTTTGTTGGCTTTCAGACGTTTATTTCTCTAGCAGGTTATCTGAAAGCGCAGCCAAGCAACATTGTAGGAAAAAACACCTGTTTTTAATTTTGATGCCCTGGTGGCGATCAATATGTCTACAACTACATTTCAACTTGTTATATTTATATCTGTCTGTTTGTTGGCTTTCAGACGTTTATTTCTCTAGCAGGTTATCTGAAAGCGCAGCCAAGCAACGTGTTTCAGTGAATGTTTGTCCATTCTAAAAGGTAACATTTCCGATCGTTTCTCGTGCAGTGTCCAGCCCACGAATCTCCAAACTGTTTTCCAGTGCAGAGACAGTGGTAAACAGGCTTTCCCTTGGGGTTTTTCAAACTCTGCGTAGGCGATCAATAAATCAATAAATCTCCATCAAATGCCGACTCCCTCTTGTTTGCTTTCTGGTAAATACACAGCTGAACTAACCGGAGGGGCGTGGGGACAGCCTTTTGTTCATGTGTTCAGTTCACGATGCAAATGAGTGTATTTCTCGAAAACAGTGCAACTTGGGTTCAAGTAGAACATACGGTTGACGGAAACTCGGGGACTGCGCCTACCTGATGAGCCCCAAGAAGGGCGAAACCGGTCGTGGGCTGTCGAATAGTTTTCAGCAATCTTGTGAGTAGTTTCCTTTATGAAAATATACTGTGATATCTCGAATATCGTGCCAACCGAAACATGAGGTGGCCTGTGTGCAGCACATCCAGTCGTAGAATATCATAAACGAGAGATTTAGTTGAGTCTCTCGTGAAAACAAAATTGATTTGCAAATGGGTGTATTTCTCGAATACTTTGTTTTATTTAACTGCGGACAGTGGTTTTGCTATTCTCACTCCAAATCGATATTTCATCCCGTCAATGGTGAAACACCATGAGGTTGGTTCATTCCTACTAGGAACCTCACGAAGCTCTAGAAGAATTTCAGCCTGCAACCTTTCGATCATCTTTGCTTTTCAGTGTACAATTTGATTACGGACAGCTGATCAGCGTGTGGTCAACTCTGACTTAGAACAGAGCCATCACTACCTGACGACGCTAAGTGGTCTGTTCAGAAAGGAAGACACTCCAAAACTCAAGTGCACCTTTCATCTACAAACTCTTCGGTTGTGTTGACAGACAATACAGTGTGGTTGGAGAGGAGTGACAATACATCCGGTTTGAATGCAAGTAAATTACACCACTGGTTGACACTCTGTGACAGGGTACTACCGGGTTCACGAGTTCACACTTTCTCAGAGGCTCGTAAACTACTCATTAACAAGGAGTTCCAGCAAGAAGAAAACATCTGTATTCCACTAAAACTGATTTCAGTAATGGTGGATGCATGACAGTGAGGACGAGTGAAAAAGACTTCGCTCTATTTAGGCGTGATACACTACTCATAAGGTTACTGAAAATTCTTGGACAGCACACCACCGGTTTCGCCCTTCTTGGAGCTCATCAGGTCGCAGCAGTTCCCGAGTTTCCGTCAGCCTTACGTTCTACTTGAACCAAAATTGCACGAAATTGGCGAACTACACTCATTTGCAAACAAGTTTGTTTTTTCGGGAAACTCATCTGGAACTCAGCTAAATCCCTCGCTTACGGTGCTCTAAACCAGGCCGCCCCACGATTCATGTACAGACGTAATATACTACTCGTGATCCTACTCATGACTTGAACTCTTGGAGCTTCTCAACTATAATTTCCTTGTCCTTTAGCAGTGGTCCCATTTGCAAAGTTTAGTTTGGAGAGATGAAGTGAGCGGACGGCTTCGTGAACTTGTAAAGTCGTTGAGGAGAGAGATACACAGATTGCGTTAGTGTATGAATAGCACTCATTCAGCACTTACGGACGATCGATATTCCTGTCAGATGAGTGCCACTCATAACAAGTTCAGAAGGGTAAACGGCTTGTTCGTTGCTTGTCTGGCCTCAAAAAGTGAAAGGTTCGGCGAGAGACAGGAATGCTGACGACCACTAACGGAGGAACCGGGGCTTTCTCTAGCGTTCCAAGGAAGAACGGAGTTGGGCAGTCGATTTGATACCTCGACACTTACATCGGAATGTTGATGCTTGCAACAAACATGAGTTTATTTCGTCGTTTCAGTCAAGCTGGTCTGAACCAGATGGTTTAATCTTAGCCTTATCTAAATTAGAAGCCTTAACTAAACTGCGGAATCTTCGCTCTGATGCCACCAGTCTACCGTGGTCCACAACGGCGGAATGCTGCAAGACATGACCAATAAGGTTTATCGATCCAACCCCCGAAATGACGTCCCCATCATCGGCAGCACTTCGCTGTCGAATAGACGTACATCTGATCAGTTGTCCTGAGATAAGAAAAAACACTTTTTCGAGAAATACACTCATTTGCAAATCAATTTGGTTTTCACGAGAGACCCAGCTGAATCTCTCGTTTATGATATTCTAAAAAGACCTTTCCTCACTAATCGTTTCGAACTGAACTGCCGTCAACCGTCACAGGCAGTGTTTCCGATGACTCGCTTCTACTTTGCTAAAAGAAGTTATTCACATCGCACTCTTGGATGCACCTTCCAGAATAGACTTCTATCCTGTCCAGGATCACCGGCAGTGTTTCCGATGACTCGCTTGGTCTACTTTGCTAAAATAAGTTATTCGCATCGCACTCTCGGATGCAACTTCCAGAATAGACTTCTATCCTGTCCAGGAGTTGGTCTTTTTAAATTGGAAAAAACTCAAAATGGGAAGGAACACCTTAAATTTTCGAAATCTCTCCATGGTTAGTTGATACGAATACCGGGCGATCAAGAAAAAGCAATCAAGGTAACACTTTTACACTCTCATGAATCTCGTTCTTATACCAATGTTCGAAAAATGCTGACAGTTCCTGCTCATCAAACCAACTTCGATTATTTGTCATTTTTTTCAACATCTAAGTTCGTCTTAAAATGTTACTCTGCTCTCTTTCACCTATTCTCTTCAGGGTGATCCATCGTATCGAGACAGTGTGATTGGACTCAACGCAACAGATGAACTGAACACCACTTTTTACATCGAGCCAATCACCGGAGTTGTGTTCTTTGCAGCCAAAAAATTGCAAATCAACGCGGTGGTCAAACAAAATCATCGATTCACTGAATTGGCCCGTGTGAAGTCGGTCTATTTGCCAATCATGTTCATGAACGAGAGCTTCAGTGTGGACGATGAGACGGCCAGAAGCATTCGGTCATCGATCTATGTGGGCCCCGTTGTTACCAAGACAATAATGTCCATCATGGTGATTGTACTGGCCGTGGTTGTCATATCGATGGCCGTATACCACTGTGTTCGTAGGAGGCATATGACGCCCAGTTCAGCGGCTTATACACCCATTGAGGATGCGCATATCGCAGAGGGCACCACACTTGACAACGATGATAAAAACGAAACAGACACCCAGCCTCCCTCGGCGGTTGCATAGCCATCATAATGTTCACCTGTCTTTGCACACCTTCTACAGCGTTGGATATTTTTGGAAATCTTTGAGTCTTGCTTTCACCTTGTTCACCTCCTTTCCCAAGGAATCACCTTTCATATGTACTCATAAATTAACCCGTTTGCTCCACCTCTAACGCGTAGGACAATTCATCTTCGCGAGGTGTGCATGCGTGGTGATTGATTGTGAACTTTCATTCTTGGTACAGATTGATTTTCAGCCCCAATTTATGCTGGAATCGTGTATACAACCAAAAACCTGCCAGTAATTTCATGTAACTTTTACGTGGCAAACTTTGTTGGCTGTGCTCTGATGAATTCTCGTTGACAGGTAATCAAACACCCATAATCTGGATTAGGTAGGTCCCACCCAACCGTGCGATGGGGAGGACTGATGAAGGAACGTTTGTGGTTAAACCCGGCAAGCACACCGACAATCGCTTGTCTGTAACCGTTTAAGTAACTCTTTTGAACGAACGCGCAATGTAGCTATCCTGCCAGACGTGGTGATTCAGTGTCCATCGTGGGTAGGTCTGCTTGATCCATACTACCATAAAACATCCGTTGAGCTGCGAGTTTATAAATGACTTGTATGGTACGCCCTCTTTCAAACCGGTACTAATGTTGACAGACAAAGCCTGTCCCAAGACGACGTAACGTCAACACTTACGCTCGTTTGCGTATTAAATCGGTTTTCACAAGGGACGCAACCGAATCTCTCGTTCACGATATTCTTTAAATGAATGTGCTGCCACCTCAGTTGGTACGATATTCGAGATACCGCAGTATAGCTTCATCAAGAAAACTACTCATAAGGTCGCTGAAAACTCTCCGACCATCCATGGCCGGTTAAATAAACAAATAGACGATAGTCTACTAATAAATAGGTAGTAGTGGACAGTGTGTCTTGAATATGTGATGACTGTTCTGTGAAATAGCTGAACAAATATTCTTGCTTGTTTATTTGATTAGTTCAAAAGGTTCGGAGACTATAAACATGGTTGTCAACCCGGCGAAAAAAGCGACAAACGAATAGGTTTTGTTGTGACATCCATCTACCTCGGATACTGCCCATCTGCTTCTAAGTTCCCGGTCACAATTCTGTTGTTCCTAGGAGTTTCCGCGGAGATAAACTCACCATATAGTTACCGTTCGGTCGACGGAAAAGTTTCTTTTCCCAGCTGTTACTAAAATAAACAGATTCTGGCACGTTTTACAGAGCACAGCACTCATCAATTTGCCCGCGGCCGGTTTCACCAGCTGAATCTCTTACAATGTTCTCCAACCAAATGTGTTGCTCAAAAGCTGTCATGTTTCGGTTAGCACGATATTCGAAATAACGTAATCTGTTTTCTTCGCAGAATATACTACTAGTGAAATGACTCTGCCATCCAACCTGATCAGTGTGCCAATAAGAGTACTGCGCGAACTGCTTTCAAATTGGGTCCAAATAGAACATAAGTTTGACGGAAACTCGAGGACTACCTGAGGATCCCCAAGATGGTCGAAACCGGTCATGGGCTGTCGGGGACTTCTCAGCAACCTCAACGAGCCAAGAAGATGCCAGATAATCAGATCACTCCGGTGGACGAATCCAACAGGCGTGGATCAGACAACATGCTAGCTGATATTACCTACACGCCAGAAACAACATTATTTGGAAATCACCTCATCCAACCGCACGCTGATGACGTCGTTCGCATGGTGACGAAACGTTTGCTACCCCACTGCCACTCTCGTCCAACGGATCAAGTGCCATCTGGTCAAAAACCGGTGAGCCCATTGTAGCTATGGGATGGGCGGAGGTTGACAACCGGATATTACTCGGGTACCCAGAAATAATAGGGATTTTGGATCACCCCAAATTTCCGAACTACCAACTGGGGTCGAACCCACGCACTAGAAATAAAAAACGAGTTCTACTTAATTTAACTGGTCAGTAGGCTTGAAACGTTAGATGGTTTCACATGAGGTGTGATAGTTCGTACCTATCTTACGCGGTGTAATTCTATGCTGGCTCACTTAAGGTGCATAGCTACTCAAGGATCACGTGACTAAGAACAGCGACAGCACAGAGGTGCCGCCACTGATGTCAAGTTGTTTAGCTCTTTTGTTGAACGACGCTTATTGAAGTTATGCCAGCCTTAATACATGTATGATCACTGCATGCGTTTTCCGTAATCTGTGGTGTAGATGAACCCATTTGCATTGGGTTTGGGTTGTCGGCAACCGATAAACGATGTTGTCATAATGTTCCGCCTCGATGCGCGCAGTAGAATTCGCCAAAAAACTGCCTACTTGAGAAAAGAAAGGTCCTATTCCAAAGTTCTCACAATCTGTGTGATGGAATGGGTCATAACACATGGTACTTCGGAAGAACCTGACTCGCGTCCGTAGAACTACGCTGGTGGTGTTCAACCCCATCATCATCACCATCATCATCATTGTCATCATCATCATCAACATCATCATCATCACAATCATCATCATCATCATCGACAGCATGACATCAATGTTCAACACCGATGCTTCACTGCCGTGCAACCATGATTTATTTGAAAGCTTTATTGTGAAGAAAAGAATAAAGGTGGATGGGGAGGGACCTAGCTTACCACACAGACTTACAGTGTCATTTTACTCGTGGACTACGAATTTCGAGTGACTGGAAGGTTGGCATGTTGACGCGAACATACCTGGCACTCAAGTCCCCGGTCTCTCGTCGCTTACCAGGTGAGTGTTATATCCAGTGAGTCACTGTGGATGACGTCCCGCGTCACACTTGCGCACTTGAGTTGACATTGATTTGTCACGCGTCTGTCTGATGGATCAACATTGCATTATCTGTCCCTTTGTATGACTTTCACAATCGGTTCCATGTTTACATGACCCAGAAACCCATGGGCCTCTGGGTTTCCTTGATGAACCGATTGAAAATGTATGTCCATATAACTTGGAAAACGTCTACGGGAGGATCCACGGTCATCAACAAGCATCCCTTGTATTGGTGGGTTGGAATTCGTGGGCTGTTTTTCTGACTCGTTCGAACGGGGCGGTTGGAAATCGAGTTTTCGGTTGTGCAAGGGGTAGTTCCATTGAAGAATGTGTCCAGTACCACAAGCTGCGTTGGTTGGAACATGTGTTGCGTATGCTTAGCCATCGTTTGCCGAAGAGAGTGGTGTTTTCCATGCCCAACTCACAGTGGCGGAAGCAGAGAGATGGCCAAACCTTGACCTGGCAGAGGGGTGCTGTTGGTGCTACTCGCATTCCAGGATGGGGACCGCGTAATCCTCACTGCGTCTGGTTGGAGACGTTGCAAGATATGGCTTCTAAAACCGATGTCAGTGGCGTTCTTGTTGTCAGTTTTTGTCCAGATTGCCTGAATAAGTGTTTGGGGGTGTAGGCACCTCGGAATGATTGTGTTAAGCTAGCACTAAGTCCCTCCCCCATCCACCTTTATTCTTTTCTTCACAATATGGCTTTCAAATAAATTATGGTTGTACGCCAGTGAAGCATCGGTGTTGAACACTGATGTCATGTTGTCGATGATGATGGTGATGATGACTGTCTGATGTTATCTTCTATGTTAAAGATGGTATCAGCTTGAGCTTCCTTTTTGTACAAACACTAGCCAGTATTAAACTCCAAAAAGTAGGCTGCGATTTTGGGTGAATATAACGCACAAAATCTGGCACACTTGAAATTTGCTTGGTTTTATCTGGTGTACTATTAAAATGCCATGACAACCAGAGCCCACTCGACTGTACCGAGTTATTTTTTACTTCCATTCTGACGATAACAGCACAGTCAATATCGAGGCAGTGGGTACAATTCGTAGTCAATCCGGAGTAGGACATACGTTACCCCTCACTAACAGGTTCCGACGTCTTCATATCCTTTAGGTTGGTTGAATAAACACGTTGTTTTGAACTATTTGGTTGATAAACGACGATATCTACCCAGCAATATCAGGATGAATCGATTCCCTGGTTGAGTGTTCTTCCGTGTGATGTGGTCTCATCAAACCCCGGTTCAGTAGGAATCGAAGTAGCTTCTTCGTGTGAGGACAATTCTATGAAGAGATTCTCTGTAAGCGGAGGTCGCTGGATTATATTCAAGAAGGGCTGTGACAAGAAATGTGGCGGCTGTATGAGCTCGCGTTAGTTCGGCCATTAAGACGCCAAACCACCGTTCGGACAGTCTATGGGTTGGAACCCAACCATGGCTGTCTTGCATCAGGCAAACTTTCCGAATCTCAGCCTTCGTGTTTCTTTCGGTTTGTATGGTGGCTCTGCGTCGAAAGGGTGCGTCAGGAAAACACCTTAGTTTCTGCTCGCTTGGTTTTTGTTTCTTTTTGTATCACTATTTATTTTATTTTATTTGTGTTTCCTTCGTTTTTGCTGTGTGAAACTGTTACCGGCCAAGGACTGTGGATGACACAAGATTTTGTATCAGCAGCGTGAGCGAGATAGGAATTTTAACGAGACAATGGTATAAAAAATTTCATCTGTTTTAAGACTTATATGTCGGAAATTTTCAGTAACCCTATGAGTAGTGTATTACGTTTATACATGTATCGTGATGCCTGGAATATCGTAAGAACTGAAACATGAGGCGATCTAATGTGGAAGTTTCAGTTGTTGAGAAACATCATAAATCGGAGATTCAGCTGGGTTCCAAACGAGTCTCCCGCAAAACCAAATTTGTTTGCAAATGAGTGTATTTCGCTAATTTCGTACAGTTTGGGTTCAAGTAGAACATATGTGTGACGGAAAATCTGGAAATGTGCCTAACTGGTGAGCCCCAAGAAGGGAGAAGCTGGTCGGGCGTTGTCGAAGAATTTTCAGCAACCTTATAAGCAATGTATTGCGCCACTTTTCTCTGCCCCTTTGCTACCCAAACGGTGCCTCCGTTTCGGTTCTGTAAGACTTACTTTTTTGAGAGGAATTTGCCACGTGAATGGTTCTCGCCACAAGGTCGCCTGGACTCTGAGTGTAAAATAGAATTGCGGAAAACGTTGTATGGGGAATAACTTTGGAAAGATCAAGCAGCAAAATACATAAAAAAAACAAGACCGATACGTGGAGACTGTATAAGGGGAACGACTCAAGTGGAAGAAAGGTGATATTCGCTGTTGGTATATGTAATTTGGAGGGAATACTGCACAGTCAGACTGTATCTAGCAATACAACACGCTTCTTGTCTCTCTGTGCACAATGGGTCGATCTGACTGAGTACTGAGCTGATAAGGTGTATTTCTCGT